AGACGGCATGTACAAAGATACGTAAAATGGAGTTTAAAAGCAAACATTCTGAATATTTTGTGAAATTCATATGGAGTTCAGTTACTAAAACAGGTATGCTAATTTATTTTCATCGACTGTATTCTCTTCGAAGACAGTCAGCTATATACGTATCCCGGTCGGCCTTTTCTCTGTCATTTGTGACAAAAATAATGCAGCAGAACAACAATAAGCTGTATATTTCAAAACATAAGATTTGTACAGATGGGAAGTTTCCCTCCTAAAATACTTGGAAAGTGCTGCTAGAATCCCGAGTTAAGCATTGTTTTACGAAAAATCTCGGTTTATATGTATAAAATTCAAAACATCGGGTAAGGTTTCGTGCGAATGTGTGGAATTATTATTTGACTGACGGGACAGTGGGATTCTAGCAGCACTTTTTAGGCAAAATAGATGTTTTCCAACTATATTATTTACTCAAAGAAATTATTACATTTCGGGGTATTGTTGTTCTGTTAGCTTTTTTACTAAGGAAAATTTCGCTATTAATAGAAGTCACGTGATGCCGTGGTGGTGGTGCACGTCTTTGCATTAGACACTCTTTTATCTTTATGCAATAGATAATAATAGTTTACATTTATCAGCGGTTTTGGTAAATTATCAAACTTAATTTTCTTTAAAAAGTCTAAATTTCCAGAGAATTGACTTATATGCTTCCTTAACATACCCGCGAAGGTATGATATTTTTATGGTTTAAATACCTTATGTCCGATGCATGGTGAATATTGTCCGATCCATGGTGAATTCTGACTTATTTCGAAAAAATCAGTTTCTAGTGATATTTTCTCAATAAATAGCACAAGATTGTGTCAAAAATTTATTATATTTTAACCATATACTACATATTAAGTTTCATTTTGATAATATTCGGTCGGTAGCGATATCGCTAGAACTCGTTAAGTTCGAGGGTGTCCGATGCATGGTGAATTCACCCTATATAAGGCATTACTGTTTGTAGATGAGACAAGAGCTGTTCATCATGCTTTGTTAACAACTGTAATATTGCCAGGGAATTATCTTTATTTGAGGAATCACTTGTGGTATCATCTCTGTGTCATCGGAGAGGAATATTCTGTTTCCCGCAAAGAATGATCAACACACTTTGTACACACACTTGGCGACATCGTCTAGCAAGGGTTGTTTCTGAATATATCTTTTCAGCTGAGGACATTGAGTTCAACTTTATTGCACCTGTTACAAATTTAACCAAGATGAGAAAATTAGAATCGTCGAAAGATTTTCCATCTTTATCATGTTTTGTTGTCTTAATAAATTCATTGGATTCAGTAGGTAAAACTTGGAAACAGACGACAAAATGATTTGGTGTCCAATTGTTTGGGTTAATATTTTCAGTGTGTGACCACATGATGTAGATAGGAGAACCGGGACGTACCATTTCATCTGAAAATGGCTTTTTAATTTGATGAAGAAAATGTCTGTTCACGGCAACATGTTGTATTGTTGGGTAAATGCTATATATTGGAATATTCGACGCATTTGCTGCTGCGAAAAAAATGAATAAAAAAAAACAATATTCATCTGATTTAATTGAATTTATAGTTTCATTTTGGATCGACTTGAGAAAATTCTCCGGTACAAGTGATCTTTACTACACTGACTTCTCCACAACATATTCTACATTTGTGGGATGAGAACACACCTTGTCGTAAGTTGCCTGTGACGCATACTTTCTGGGATTTTTTACAAGTTCTAATACCGTCATGACATGTCCCTCTTCATTACCGAAAAGGGCTTTAAAGAGGGCCCTATAGAAGCAGTTGCATCTCCGTACACTTTCACAGGGCAAATATCAACTGGCCTATCTTCTGGGTAAAGTACCTCAGCAATTTTGTCTTCTTTCGTCTCTGAGCAATATATCGGACCCCATTACAGTAAGATAAGTGTAGTCTTTCTTGCAATTTGCGTATCTTAAATATACACTGTACATCGAACTGCAAGATTTGCTAGCCTTTTGCTGCTGCTTTCAGCAGGAAGGCATGTAAAGATCAATATCTCTTTCACCCATGATATCTATTGCATCTTTAATTAAACATGTGTTAAAATTGCAAGGAAATGATGATCGGAATACTTTGAGAGAAAATCTATTAATATTTACTCAGAACTGAAAAAAGAATACTAGTCACAGTGAGTCTGCACTATACCAAAGTCAAAGACTTGATGACGATACAATAGCATAATGACAAATTTACGAAGTCAACCACTCGTAATAGGATATTAAACAAATCGATCCTGTTTAAATTCGTTTAGAAACTCGAACAAATTTATGATTTAATTTCAACCACATTACTCTCACATTTATGAAACCAAATATGAATAAAAAATTGTTCCGTTCTTTATCTAAAACAGAGGGTTGGTTTTTTTTTCTTGTACTTTTAAACTTTTTTTCTTATATTTTTAAACACGCAACAGAGAATATCTAAATGATGATAAAGGTGTTCATTTCTTCAATAATGCCATTAGTTTCTAAAGCGTTTATTCAATAAATGCAGCAATTGACCGTTTAAATGCAGTTTGTAGTCGTATATGTTATTGAAGTAAGAAGATTTATTAGTACCTACATTAATCCATTTATATGTTGTTGCTTTGTATTAAATTCTAAAGTGAGTTATTCGTACAGGAAAAAATGCTGATAATCTGTATTAACCTGTATAGCTTTTACACAATGATTCCAATATCAAAATGTCACTGTTTTTGCTATGATTTGCAGAAAACTTGGCAAGACTTAACGACTACAAGGGTAACGCATCACAGAGTTCATCTTATCCTGACAGTAAGTGGCCTGCAGACAAAGCAGTTGATGGACAACTTCAGGGAACAGATGAGCGTTCTTGCAGTTTTACTAAGGGGGATCCGGGAATTCAATATGCCTGGTGGAAGTTTCCTTTGAAAATAATGTCTAACGTGGCATACTTAGAGATATTCTTCAGGAAAATAAGTAAAAATCAAGTTAAATCATCATCGTCACCACAATCATCATCATCATCATCATCATTATTATTATTAATATTATATTATTATTGAAATAATAAAGATTCAAAATTCTAATGTTGTATTTTCATAGATCACAGTAAAACTCTTTTAGTACATGTACAAACACGTAGAAAGCGAAGTTATGGTTATATCGAAGTCTTGGCAATCACCGTTGAAATTCTTAATTAAATATATCTATATTATTATTGCAATTATAAAGCTTCAAGATTCTAATGGTGCATGTTTCATAAATTACAGTTAAACTCTTTTAGTACTAACACCGATATAGCGAATGTATAGTTATATCGACGCGTTTTGCAATCCCTGGTGAAATTCCTAGTAAAATATCATTATATTGCTTTTGTAATAATGAAGCTTTAAAATTCTTATGTTTCATTTTTCATAGATTAAGGTAAAACTTATTAAGTACTATCAAGGTTATAGCGAATTTATGGTTATAGCGAAGTCTTTTGCAATCCCCGCTGAAATTGTTGACAATTTCAGGTAAAATGTTACGGATATTACGAACTCGGATATAGCAAACTAACGGTTATAGCAATCTGGTTTTGTGTCCCGTAGAAGTTTAAAATAAAGATATTTACAACTTTTTGACTTGTTTTCAAAAATCTCTGTATTAAAATATTGAACTGATAATAATTAGTCTAAGTATTTATATTTAAAACTCAATTCGTCCGAAAGCTTTTGAACTCTTAGAAATATTTCATGTTTATAATTCTCAAAATACATCTGGTAGTCAATTTTGAAGGGAAACAAATCTATATTTCGACATCGCTATGTATCCTTTAACGAATTCGCTATAAGGATATAACGAATTAAGGATATTGACAAGTAAATTCGCAGGACTCCAAAACTTTGATATAACCAAGTCTCACTGTATTTTGATATTCTGTCATAATACCTCCTTCTAACCCCCATACCCAATAAAAAGTAGCTACAGATGAGGGAACAGTTTATTCATTTTACTACTGTGCAAACGAATAAAATGTTTATTTTTTATGATTGCATGTAATTCTTTATTGTAGCAGTGGAACGACATGCAGGATTTTCTGTTTTTGTATTTAACAACACGTCTTATGAACCACCATCACCCGGTGGATATGAAGTGTTTACTCTGTCTTCTGATATTTGTCCTAATCAAATAATGAATGTAACAATCAATAAAGTGACGATGGGGATTGCTCTTTATAATTCAAACCAACCGAATTTAAAACGGATATGCAGAAACTATGAGGAAAAATTTGCATCGATTGAGATATGTGAAGTATACGTTATGGGTATGTTAAGTTTCAATTATTTGTTTAAACTTGTTTTCATTCCATTGCACCGATTCCACGCAGTTCGCTCTATTTCCTCTACATTTCGTCTAAAGAAGAATGAAAAAAAAAAGAATTATGTCAATAGGAATAATCAGAATACCGGTAACTTGAATAAATTACAGTATTTTTTAAAGTGCAATTGTTGTAAAAACATTAAATCAGTGTATGAAACAGAAGTAAAAATTAACGCTATGGAAACATGAATTCACAGACACGTTTTTATTTGAATGGCCGATAAAAATACATGTCGACTGAAACTCAGTTATGGACTACTGCTAGCGTGATGCTACTACTGGTGGAATTGTTAATTATTCTTGATACAGTAAGGAAAGCACTTGAACAGGTATATGTATAGGGATGAAGATAACTAGCTAATATTATCATTAAATCAGAAAGTAGCGCTCCCTCCGTGATCAGAAGGTCGTGAGTTCAAATCTCGGTCGCGACCTTCGCCTTGCTATCGGCACTTTGAAGTGAAAGTTGCGGTTCCTTCAGATGAGAACAGTATATGGTGACGTTTTTACATGAGTAAAAAATTCTCGAAGGTGACGTAAAACAACATACAATCAAAGTTTTAGTTGAAAGTTTCTCACACCCTTCTCGCACACTTTCTCCATTGTAATCGAAACCAACATGTTTTGTGTTAAAGCTGCTCGTATACCTCGAAAAGGTACGAAAGGAAAAGCGCTCAAAAGTCAAATGCTTTCACGTGATAGTAATACGTTTTGCTGTTCTTCTTTTAGGTCTTTATTCCTTTGGAGGAATTGTTAGATGCATTTTAAAAGACAAGTGCATTTAAAAATAACAATAATCATATTAATCCCTCAAAGAAACAGTGAACCCAAAAGAAGAAGATATTTTAATAGAAAAGAATGATAATGGTACCCTAATAATAAAATTTATAATAAACTTGATGACTTTATGATGACTTCAACTTTCATATCGTCAGAAGATCGTGAGCTCACATTTCGGCCGCGACTAGCCTAAGTCGATAAAAAATAGGTAGCAACTGTTCTTTCGCCATGCGCTCGGCACTTTGAAGTGAAAGTTGCGGGTCTTTCGGATGAGACCTTAAAAACTGAGGCCCCGTGTCACGACAGGCATTGGCACGATGAAGATTCCTCTCTGCTCAATGCACTACTGGACGAAAAATGTGCCGAGAATCCCAAATTTTACTGATAATGTTTGATAATTACTGATACGGTTCTGTTCTTGCTGAAAAATACTGATATTTACTGTTATTATTACTGTCGTTGCTGATAATTTTAGTTGTTTCTGATAAATACTGATAATTACTGTCGTCTTTACTGTGGAGTCTGATAAATACTGTTGATGTGCTGTCGATACTGATATTTACTGATAATTACTGTGGTCTTTGTTCTTAAGCTGGGAAGGGCTAAAGAAGAACTGAGTTCTTTAAATGTTCTGCTTGTGACAAAAATTATGCTGATCTCATTCACTACAATACTGTTGTGAAAATGTTGACAATAAATAAATGAAACTTTCCGCGTATATTAAGCAAATGTTTTCTACCACTCTATGAAAATGGTATAATTTATCTGTAAGCAAGATAAATGGAATTTTATTAATGTGCTGTAAATAGAAAGGAAATAAGGCTATCTTTTAAAAAGATTCATCGCCGCCCTGTCCCGACTCCAAGATATTTGGGTAGGGAGGTCGGTGATGTTTTTTTTTTTTTTTTTTTTTTTTTTTTTTTTTTTTTTTCTTCAATAATAAGAAATAGTTCTTAATGGGAGGAAAAAATTCGGGATAAAAAATATTTCCTGCAGGTTAGAAAAGTTTGATTCGAACGGTTTCACTCCGTCAACTGGTCAAGAGAGGACGACATTTTCCTTTTAAAGATGACATTTCATATAGCTATTTTTGTTTTTTCTATCTCAAAGACATTTATTTTTTTCATTTTTAAATGTTCGGTTTTCTGGTCTCTGTCAACATATTTGAAAATTTGCTCGAAAATTAGAAATTTGAAGCATTTTTAAATTTAATAAAGAGAATGATGAAAACAGAGGTGAATATGTTCAATCTGGAGGAACAGATTATTTATTTATTTATTTATTTATTCATTTATTTTAACGTATTATAGGCATTTTAGAATCTTCCTGAATATCTCTTCTATACATCTACATGTACACGATACATACATGTGCAACCGGCAGATTGGAGGCTGATTAAAAAGAATCCCCAGAGTCAGAGCGAAGGTACACATGTGTTTATGTTATTTTGATGTTGGTCTCTTAAAATTTCCTGACACGAAACATTCAATAAGATTTAAAATTTCATTAATTTAATTTTATGGAATGTGAAATAAGAAATGAGATCTATTATAATATGTTTACTTAGTAAAGTACATGTATATGATCAAATTGATCAAATTGATCGATTTTAATCTTGTGTGGTCAAAAATTGCATGGAATAAATTGATCTTCATTGATCAAAAATCGAAGATCAGTCTCTGATTTGGCTGTATTGTGTACAAGTCTTCCGCCCCGGCGTAGAACGGGGTACAACTTGTATATCCCATGTAAATTGTAGTGGTCAGCGTAACAATGGGCAATAATTACCTATTGTTCCTCGTCTGCGGCCACCGTGTACATAATAAACAAACTACCTACACTGTTCATGTAATTTCTTCTTTGAACAGGAAAATCTTTACGGTCGCACGGAAAAAAAAAAATTATCCTGAAATATTCAGTTTGTTGACGAATAAAATTAAAAAAAAACTATTTAGCAAAATAGGACATTGCAGTACTAGATTAAAAAAAAAAAAAGAAATGAAGTTATATGTTACATATACATTGTACAGACTTAATATTCATTAATTATTTCAATTCACATAAATATATCTTTGCTCACTTTTTAATTTTATTTGTTAGTTTTATGCACATTTCTTGACATGCTTGAGATAAATTTAAAAGAAAATCCCGGAGAGGGGGCTACATGTATTTTCCATTCTGAATCTCGGTTAACGATGGTTTGAACCCCGTGAAACGGAGACGAGAAATTGATACGGAACATTTGACTTCATCTTATAATTAAAACATTATGCAAAATGTACATATAAATTTAAAAAAAAAAATAGATGGTTTAGTGAAAAAATTATTGAAATTATATTAGCATTAACTGTTCACAATTCAGAAACAGAGAATTAAACTCTACATCGCTCAGAATCCGTGAAAAAAATCTTTTATGAATTTTGAATGAGAGTAACATGACGTTGTTTATCGCACTCATGAATAAATGTTATAGTTCTGAATTTGGTATCGTTCATTGATTCTCTAAGATAATTGTATTCATGTATTTAAAAAAAATGTGTAATGAGTAATTATAACATGTATGACTTATTAAACATAAAACTAAAGAATCAACCTTCCGCGTATCAGTTTTAAGTTAACAGTATTTCACCACCCCACCCCACCCCCACCCTTTTTGTGCTGCAATAAAGCATATTAATCAAGTCGGTAAGCGCCCAGCCTGTTCTGTTCATTTATACAAAGGTCTCCGACAAGGAGAAAATGGAAAATAAAAAAAAAACATTATAATCTTTGTACAAAACTATTTCTAATTTTACAAAATTAATGTCGCCCGATACACAGAATGTATTAATAATTGACCCGATTCTCAAAACGAAAGTAGAACTTTTACACGTGGTTGTCATGTGTGTTCCAGAACAGCAATTTAGCCAATCTCTATCCAGAGTTATCGTTCCCGCTGCGCTCCACTTATACCTCTGTCAACGTCTAAAAAGTAGTGCGGAAGGCGGAGACGCGTGGCCTTTATCACAGGAAGATTAACAAGCGTATAACCTTCACTTTTTTGTATATGTGTCAATGCTGCAAGTTGTTTCTCCTTAAAAACTGAACCATGTTGACATTTGTCGGCAATGCGTTTTAAATTTTCCACGTTCTTCATATCTGTGTACATGAGTGATGCAAAATCCCACCGAGAAATAATCCCTTGTGAAATAAAGTGATACAGATATATCTCTTTCTAATTTTCATACATAATTAACTTTTCTTCAAATCTTAAAACTAAAATATATAACTTTAAAATTTATAATTTGTTATGCAATAGGTCAGAGTAAGTTTTGCCAAGAATCTTGGCATTTAGACGTTAACAGAGGTGTTGTAGCGAAGCGTAATACGCCCTCTGGTGAGAGATTGCAATTTAGCTAGACGACATTAATGGACGAAAGTAACTTCAAGTTTTGTTTTATTTTATTATCTTTTTCTTTTAATTGACTGACCGCGTATAACATTTATAAGCAGTTATTTATTGATCTCCCTGATACTGGCGTATGTCTATAGACCTAACGCAATTAAAGAAAGACGTGTATTTCATTGATTGAAAATCACACTGCATAAGATTTATAGTGTACTGATGACTTAACAATTAAAATTAAAAAAAAACCGAAAGATAGAAAGCGTCGATACCACACAATGATATCAACTTCGCATCGAGAACATAATCAGAGAACTAGAGCGCACTGGCTATATGTATATAAAAGAGATTATTCTACAAATTAAAGATGTTTTATTCTTATTATTTAAACCTGTCACATTCTTCAATAAAAGGACATAGTGTACACAACATAAAATCAGAATAGATTTTTTTTTGTGAGATAAATTTAATACTGGCTAAAGTGTGTCTTCTTAAAATGAGTGTTGTATGTAAATAGAGAGGGGGGGGGGGGTCTCAACTTAAAGAGCTCATACATGTTCAGTTCTCCACACGAAAAAATAAATTGACAATAACAACCATTGACTATATTAAAGATGCCCTCTAAAAGCTTTTGATGACAATAAAAAAAAAGATGAGATGGGATTATTTTTTAACCTTTAAAAATAAAAACTTGTTTTTAAAAAGTACTTGGGGAGAAAAACCACTGCAATAACAACACAATTATTATTTTCCGCAGATATTGAAAACTTTGTGAAAGGAGAAATATAAAGGTAAAGAAAAACACAAACATTTATGATCTAATTTTAACAATATGATGTAAAAATGATTATAATAAAATCAATACATGAAATATGAAAACAAATAAAATGTGACTATTTTTCTAGAATTCTTTTTTTTTTTTTTTTTTTTTTTGCTAGAATACTGTAATGAATTTGTTGATAAAATACTTTCTTTAAAACAAATAATCATTTCTTAAGCTATTTTAGTCCCTTCCCAGATTAAAAACAATGACTACAGTAATTATCAGTAAATATCAGCATCGACAGCACATCAACAGAATTTATCAGTATTTATCAGACTCCACAGTAAAGACGGCAGTAATTATCAGTATTTCTCAGAAACAACAAAAATTATCAGCAACGACAGTAATAATAACAGTAAATATCAGTATTTTTCAGCAAAAACAGCACCGTATCAGTAATTATCAAACATTATCAGTAAAATTTGGGATTCTCAGCACCTTTTCGTCCAGTAGTGATGGTTCTGAGTGCCGAGTAAAGGTCAAAATTTGAAGCCCTTCATCAGTATATGGAGACTTCTCTATATGAATGAAAAATTCTCGAATGGACGTTAAACAACATACAATCAAAGTTCTAATTAAAAGTTTCTCACACCCTTCTCGGACAGTTTCTCCATCGTAATCGAAACCCACGTGGTTTGTGTTAAAGCTGCTCGTATCCCGCGAAAAGGTAAGAAAGGAAAAGCCTAAAAGGAAAAGCGCTAAAAAGTGAAATGCTTTCACGTGTTAGTAATACGTTTCATTGTACGTCTTTTAGGTCGTTATTCCTGTTGAAAAATTGTAAAATGTATTTTAAAAGACTAGTGCTTTTAAAAATAACAATAATCATATGAATCCCTTAAAGAAACAGTTAATCCCTCCCCCCCCCCCCCCCAAAGAAAAAGAAGATATTTTACTAGAAAAGGATGTTCATGGTGCCCTAATAATAAACTTTATGATACACTTGATGACTTTATGATGACTTCAACTTTCATATCGTCAACTTCTTTATCTATTACTTATGTGCAATAATTATGCCCTTAACACCTACATATGGGGATTTCTCTCCAAGGTGATTTAATACGCAACGTACAAACAATTTTTACAACGAGACAGCTAGTGACAAATTAGTTGAATTTGCAAATACAATTTATCATTGAGTCATATGCTGACTGACGTTTTTCGTACAAATTGTTAGGCCATTATTTACACACTGAATTATCGACGGATTTTTCCGTTATTTCCCGATCATAATAAGGAGCACACGGCGGGTGTGATCGGTCGGCAGGGCATGCACACTCCTCCATGGCACCTGATCCCACCTCTGATGTTTGGAGGTCCATGTTTGCTCTGCTCCTATTTTGTATTGTTTGATGGACTTTTGAGCCTGAATACTGTTCGTTATCTCCATATATTTCATTGATGAAACGATAACGTCAACAGTCTCCTTTAAGGTCAACATTTAGCAGATTCTTTAACCAAAGAGATTAATTACCTTGTCAGCAAATACACTCTATCATTAAGTCGAATGTTGACTGACATTTATTATACAAATTGTTAGGTAAATATTCTCACACTGAATTGTCTACTGATTTTTCCTTTTTTCGATCATGATGGTGAGCAAGCGGCGGGTGTGACCGGTCGAAAGGGGGTGCATATTCCTCCATGGAACCTGAACCAACCTCTGATACTTTTAAAAGTCCATGATTGCTCTGCTTCAATTTTTTTGTTTCAATGGACTTTTGATTGATTGATTGTATGTTGTTTAACGTCCCATTCTAGAATTTTTTCACCCATATAGAGACGTCACCATATACCTTTAAAGGGCTTCAAATTTAGACCTTTACTCGGCACTCAGGGCCTTTGAGCAGTTAAGGTTCTTTATCGTGCCAACGCCTACCGTGACACGGGGCCTCGGTTTTTAAGGTCTCATCCGAAAGACCCACTATTTTCACTTCAAAGTGCCGAGCGCTTGGCGAATGAATAGTTGCTACCTATCTTTGTCGACTTAGGTCAGTCGCTGCCGTGTTTCGAACACACGACCTTCCGATCACGGAGCGAGCGCTCTAACGACTGAGCTAGAGTGACGGTCAATGGACTTTTGAGTTTGATAACTGTTTGTTATCTTCATATTTCTTTACATATATTTCAAAGTACTTTGGGAATCCTCTTCATAATTAATATTTTAAAAAATGATGTATTTTCACACTCACACTACGGAAATTTTACCAAAAATGATTGCCTGATGAGAGTCTTTGTCATAATTTATTTATTTTTTTTTTACTAAAAAGGCTGCCAGGCTGGTCATTTTGGTCCTACATGTGAATTTTGTGACATTAAATGTTTGAACAGACAGTGTGATGTCTTCAATGGATCATGTATATATGGCTGTAGCAATTCACTGTTGGTACCTCCAAATTGTAATGGTAAGGATATTTTTCCATCACATCACCACGTCAGCCTCACCTCGTAAATTAACTTATTTTCAAATTGAAATGATTTTATCGAGACCTCCTTTGAGATTGCTCTTTTTTCGACATGTTTCATATAGGCTGATGGAAATACTTTTATTGTCTTATTTTGTTATTTTCTTTTATATACAAATCGCAAAAGTGAACAGGTTATTCCTATAATATGCAACGTTCAATACATTATTTTTGTTAAAGGGATAAATGAATATTTTTTTTTTTTTAAATATTTCGTTAACTCATTCCCTTTAAACCATGGAAAACTCAATGATACAAAACTTGAGATGCAATGCATGTACCAAGTTTAATCTGTCATTTGCGTGATAACTACTGGTAGTGCCGTGCATGTTTTTAACAACTTGAAGGCAACACATTTTATACATCTTTTTTATTGTTCAGTTTTTAAGAGTTAGAATCAGAAAGGATCGAGCATGTTGAAAGTGGCATGAAATAAATTAGGTTAAAACTTATGTGAAAAATTTCAGAACAAATGGTATGTAAAAAAAGCAACCAAAAATAATTTATCGCATTGTTGCAATGAAAACCACGCGGCTTTCAGAGAGCGTGTACACTAGAATTTATGGTTAAGTAAATACATTTTTATTACTTGTCATTAATAAAAGCTTTTTATATTATTTTTTAATCATATAAATCTACTCTATTTTAACCACTGTTGCTTATTGAAATTCTCTCCGCTTGATAAATATACTAGTTATTCGAGGTTAGTTCTGCTTCAAAAACCACCAAATTTTATTTGAATTACTTAATAAAAAGATCTACAACCATATTAAAGCTTATTAAGATTAAATATCTAATTAACAGCCTTTGTTCTAGAAGAATAAAGGAAAATATCCGAAGGCATCGTAAACATTTATGTATGAAAACTGATTTAGATCCATGATTTTCTGTCACTTTTGCTTCAAATTATCTCCCTTTGGTATAGCTATCTAACATTGGAGATTAAAACGGTATTTTGCTTAATTGTTTTCAATGACAATGCACTAGAAGACTAGCATAAAATACAAACTCAGAGCGGTGTGAGCTCCTGTTTTGCCATGTTTATGGTTCTTTTTACGGTGAATGCTTGAAAATTTTCTCATTGTTTTTTTACAACAGAAGAATGTATAGCATAAATTAGTCATGTAGTAAATTATGTAGACTTGGTAAGTGTTTCATATGGTTTGGTTTTGCACATTTTCATAATTTAATTCTGATTGATAATGTTAATATTTTGCATTTCATCAGTTAAAAAAAATGAAGCCAGTCTTTTTTTTTTCAGTACACGTACAGTATTTTTTTTCCAGTACTACTGAACTAATGTAAGCCAAACTTAGTTCAAAATAAGACAGATGATACAAACAAACTTTTAAACAAACTTAAAATTCAAAAATAACAACTTGTCATGTTCAGGCGAGTAAAATGAATAACTTTAACCGAGTGGATTTTCATTTTTCATTCACAAATTCACAATAATTGGATTTAAAGTTACGAAAAGTTGAGCTGATTCAGAAGGATGGTTGCAGAAAGGTAGAATTTTGAACATCACAGAAAGTTTAAAATTTCTAAATATTTTAGATATTTATTTTTTGCATCATTTACAACCAAAGTAGGTCCAAAAATATATACCAATCCAGGCATCCATTTTTTTTTTTTTTTGTTTATTCCACCTGTCCTTCAAGCATTTAAGTTTGAAGAAATGAATAACTATACCTCCCTTCCCCCTTGGGGGTGTTAATGGAAAGAAATGAAAACATAATTTAGTTTTTTGACAAACCTAAAACCTAGAACCAATTGACCCTTTAAATCACTTAATATGTTTTAGAGATATTCAGTATTTTATAATGCCTTGTTATTTTCATACCCTTATTACAAGTCTGTAAACAAGGATACTACGGTTTGAACTGTGAACACATGTGTGGACAATGCGTAACAGGAACGTATTGTGACACCTCAACAGGAATTTGTCCAAGTATATGCCAGGATCATTGGAGTGGACAAAAATGTGACGGTAAGTTAATCATCGTTGTGCTTCTTTATATCTCATTTTTTCAAGACAATGAATTCTAAACCCCTTAAAAATATTTTAAATTCAGCTGATTGTTAAAAGCTAGAATAGATATTTTAGGTGAAATTACTTTTTAAGTATTTCAAGCTTTTCTCACCGCAAGAATTCCTCTTTTTATCTTAACTGCACATGTCTTGGTTATCACATTGGAGTAAAACGTTTAATTTAAACTCTTTTGGACAATTACGAACGTATCAATTTTTCAGTGTTTGTGTAGAGACAGCAAATAAAGATTTGTATAGGTCTGGTTGTGAAAAGAACTAATTCAATTCCAAGCTTATTACGATTTTTTTTCTTTCTTCACAACATGCCGAACAAAAAAAAAAAGATTCTTAAAGTTCACTGAAACATTAGGATACCAATTTAATACAATAAACGCATTCCAAAATCAAAACAGAACTTTTTTTTCTGTTTTAGGCATTTTGCCCTAAGGTATTGACAAAATCTAACACAAACACAGTTTTATAAGATATTTATTGATAGATTGTGAAAAATCAGCATTTTAATAATGGAAACACGATCTAGTGTCACAAATAAACTGAAATGTAAATATTTGGAGGAAATATTGACATTTTAGCAAGACTTTACGGGGTAAATTTCCCCCGAAAGAAAATCATTGATTCACATCTTAAAGATAGCAAAAACCTACAGGGTAAATTTTCTCTCAAAAATGACATTGATACAGTTAATTTACAGTCATTCAAAGCAAAAGCAACCATCTTTTAGACAGCAAGACTTTACGGGGTAAATTCCACCCCAACGAATATCACTGATACAGTATTCACTACTCTTATAAAAAGGGAACATTAACACTTTGAAAATCGCAGAACTCTACAGGGTAAATTTCCTCTCAAAAATGACATTGATGCAGTTTATATACAGTGTTTGAAAGCAAAAGCAACCATCTTGATAATTGCAAGTCTTTACGGAGTAACCCCCCCCCCTCCCCCCCCCCCCCCCAAAAAAAAAAAAAATCACTAATACAGTATTTATGATTCGCATACATCGTGAATATGGCAACAATCTACGGGGTAATTTTTCTTTCAAAAATGACATTGATGCAGTTTATACCTGGTATTTCAAATCAAAAACATCCATCGTTTTGATAGCAACACTTTACGGGATAAATTTCCCCCAAAAGAATATCACTCATATAGAATATATGCCTCACAATATCTTGGCGGTAACAAAAATATACAGGGTAAATTTCCTCTCATAAAATATAATTGATACAGTTTATCTTATATACGTAGAAAACGCAAACATAACACTTCGAAAATCCCAGAGCTATACAGGGTTAATTTCCTCTCAAAGATGATATTGATACAGTTTATATACAGTAATTCAAAGCAAAAAAAAAAACCATCTTTTAGATAGCGAGACTTTACGGGGTAAATTTCCACCAAAGAAAATAACTCATACAGATTTTTTTATTCACAACATCTTAAAGATAGCAAATATCTACAGGGTAAAATGCCCCTAAAAAATGACATCGATACAGTTTCCATATATTAATTCAAAGCAAAAGCAACAATCTTTTAGAAAGTAAGACTTTACGGGGTAAATTTCCCCCCAACGAAGGTATCACTGATACAGTTTTCAATACTCTTATAAAAGCGAATATTACACATTGAAAATCGCAGAACTCTACAGAGTAAATTTCCTCTCAAAAATAACATTGATGCAGTTTATATACAGTGTTTATAAGAAAAAACATCCCTTTTCTAGATAGCAAGACTTAACAGGGTAAATTTCCGCCCAAAGAATATCACTGATACAAAATTTATGCTTCGCAATATCTTGGATGTAGTAAAAATCTACGGGGTAAATTTCCTCTAAAAAATATTACTTATACAGTTTACATCATACTCAGAAAAAGCAAACATTATACTTTGAAAAAAAGCAAGTACTTACAGGGTAAATCCTCCCCCCCCCCCCAAGAGTATCAATAATACAGCATATATTATTCAAAGCATGAACAAACATTGCAACTCGATGATAGCAAGACTTTACAGAGTAACTCCCCCCCCCCCCCCCAAAAAAAAAAAAAAAAAAATAGCACTGATACAGTTTATATAATTCACAGAATAAAACAAATATTACTTTTTGAAATAAGCAGAACTTTTCAAGGTAAATTTCCTCTCATAAAATAAACTGATCATTCTGTATATATTGTTTACAGAAAAGGCATATATTACATCTTGATGACGAAAAGACTCGGGGTGAATTTCATATCAAAGAATATTAATAATATATTATTTTTATATTACAAACGATATTTTTTTAAAATATCCTGCAAGCTGGAAAAGTTAAATATTAAAGTTAACATAATATTACGCCTTCTAAACATAAAAAAAGCATACAAAAACATGAAAAAAAAACCTCAGGTATCTTTTTTTCTTTGTTAAAGGAATACGATTTCTTTGTTTAAACAGCGTCCTCCTTTACTATCTTTGACCGAAGTTCCACTACTATGCTTTTCTCTTGGCTGATAGAATAGACAGATTGTAGAGTGCATTTTCCAAAGGAAATCTGGCAACAATATTCTGAACCAATCCACAGTCGCCCTAGGCATTTATATATGATTTCTTGACAGATATGACTGGTTTAAAATTGTGCACTAGAGTAGATCTAGAGCAGCAGGTGCCTGCTCCGAGTTTTTGTAAAACAGTCTTTCTGTAATATTGTATGGAAATTGCATTCATCTAAAGATCCCCCCCCCCAACACACACTCATATACACACACACATTTATAAATGTTTCTTTTGAGAATGATGCTCAGTCGTGATATGGATCTACATCGTAAGATAATCAAAAAAGTTAAATGCACTTACCATAGTATTGTACAGTACCGACCGGACACAACCTAACTCCAGAGCGAACCCAAAGCGCA